TGTGCAGCCGTTGTCAGCGAGTTTAAAATGTGTTGCACCCCAGCTGTTTCCAGAAATTTCTCCTCTGAGTTTACATGGGAGTGAATGAGAAAAAAAATCGGCGCTTCCTTCGCTTTGGAGCCACACAGCAAAAATGTGACAAATTTTGCTACGTTTTGTGGTATAAATTGTGTCTGTACAGTGAAAATTGTGGCCATGGCAGTGAGTTAAAGACAAAAGTTTTAGATGATTTTTAGAGTCCTCTCCACTCTAGCTCACAGCATTCTGTGCAATACACACCCATTATAAACTGACAATTTCTCCACATTTGCTCATGGTACTTTAAGAGGCACAGATTAAAAACGGTAAAAGATATGAAAAAGATGAAGAGATGAGTGAATAGGTGAGACCTGTGGCGACATTTGAGAGTTGGAATGGAGTCTGTAGCACAAAGTATGGAGACGCTGTAAAGGCTAGAAAAAGCCCTAAGATTGGTCCCTTTCTCCCCCTGCTGCCATTCATTTCCTATCGGGCAGCTTTCGAAGATTGTGAGGACGTTTTGTGACATGTCACCTTATGGAGCCCATAAAATCCAAACCGTTCGGGTAATGAAAAAGTTATACAGAAGATCTGATTAGCATGAGTTGATCTGTAATGTTTGCGAGTTTGAAGCCGATACGATAAACCGTGTATGACAAGAAGATTAGGAAAGGCAGTTTTAAGGCAAAATCTTACTTTGAAAGGGCAAATAGCTCACTTCCTGTTGGATTTAGGTCAGGGGTGTCAGCGCGTGATTTTTAGGTCTTCATGAGCCGAATACGGCAGTTTTGGTTTCATGTTTCTACGACGTTCCTACAGGCTGTAGTGGCCATTTTTGTGTGCCTAGGTGGCGCTAGAGAGCCCATTTTGGCACTTTAGGGGTTAATTTCATGATTTTCTAAAATTTTTCACCGGTTCTGATGTGCGTGCCAATTTTGGTGAGTTTTTGAGCATGTTTAGGGGGTCAAATTCCAGTTCAAAGAGGCGGCGGGAGAAAGAATAATAAACGCAGCAAAAACAATAGGGTCAGCGAGGACTGCTCTGTGAGGACTGCCTCTAGGCTTAGTCCCTAATAAACGCACCAAAAACAATAGGGTCCTTGTCTTCGGCGAGGACTGCTCTGTGAGCAGTCCTCTGCCTCTAGGCTCGGTCCATAATAATCGGGAGAAAAACAATAGGGACCTCGCAGGTCTGTGACCTGCTCGGGCCCTAATAATAATAATAATAATGATAAACAGCGCGATTTCAATATGGTCCTCACGGACGACTTTGTCGTCGCTCGGGCCCTAATAATAATCATTCGAAAAACAATAGGGACCTCGCAGGTCTGTGACCTGCTTGGGTCCTAATAATAATCATTCGAAAAACAATAGGGACCTTGCAGGTCTCCTGCTCGGGCCCTAATAATTGAAAACAGCGTGATTACGATAGGGTCCTACGCTGATGACTTCGTCATCTTTCAGGCCCTTCTTTATTTGTATAGCACTTTTCAAAACAAAGTTACAACGTGCTTTACAGAATAAAATAACACTTAAAATACACAAAATGCATAAAATTTGAACAAACAAGGAAAGAGGGAATAAACCCCCCAAAATAAGAGCTGTCCAGTAAGAACAATTAAAACATGGTGGGATTTAGACCATGTGTTAAAACGAATAAAATTTGATTTGAAATGTAAAAACTGATTCTGCAAGCCTAACATCCTTGGGCAGGGAGTTCCAGAGCTGAGGAGCCCTGACTGTGAAAGCCCGGTCACCCCTAGTCTTGAGCCGGGACTCAGGAACAACCAACCAGCCTCTGGCCAAGGATCTGAGGCTGTGCCCAGGCTCATAGGGGAGGAGTAACTCAGCAATATAGCCAGGTGCTAAGCCGTGAAGTGATTTAAAAGTAATCAGTAAAATCTTAAAATCAATTCTAAAACTGACTGGTAACCAGTGAAAAGAGGCTAAAACGGGGTGCTCTTGTCTCCTAGCATTTGTTAGGAGACCAGCAGCATTTTGTACGAGTTGAAGACGTGAGAGCAGTTTTTGGTTAAGCCCCGAGTACAAAGAATTGCAATAATCCAGGCGAGATTAAATAAAAGCATGGATAACCTTCTCAAGATTGGGCAAAGAGAGATAGGACTTAATTTTTGAGATGGTCCTGAGCTGATAAAAGCACACTTGAACAACACTTTTTATGTGCTTATCAAAGGTAAGGTCACCATCAAAGATCACACCCAGGTTCCTGGCTGTGGGTTTGATATTGGCAGACAGGGAACCAAGATGTTTCTGTAGTACAGGGATTGACTTTGGGGGACCGAAGAGAATGATTTCAGTTTTATTTTCATTTAATCTGAGCAGGTTGTGGGACATCCAGCATTTTATTTCGGACAGACAGGATAAAAGGTGATTAAAATTGCCTTCTTCACTGGGTTTTAAAGGGACGTACAGCTGTGTGTCGTCAGCATAACATTGGTACTGGATATTATATTTCTTTATGATGTGTCCCAATGGTAGCATGTATACGCTGAACAACAGCGGACCAAAGATGGAGCCTTGGGGAACACCACAGGTCAGAGGAACAACTGAAGAGGAGGTGTTCCCCAGGGCTACTGAGAAAGTCCGATTTGACAAATATGATTTCAACCACACTAGAGCAGTGTCCCTAATGCCCACCCACTTTTCAAGCTGATCCAATAAAATAGCGTGATGCACAGTGTCAAAGGCAGAGCTCAAGTCTAAAAGAATTAAAACAGAGCAGTCACCAGCATCAGCTGTGAGTAAAAGATTATTAGTTACCTTAATCAGAGCAGATCCAGTGCTGTGATATGGGCAGAAACCAGACTGAAATTTATCAAAGATGTTAAAAGTGGTCATAAAAGATATGATTTCTGAATAAATAACCTTCTCTAAAACCTTTGATAAAAATGGTAACTTTGACATCGGTCCAAAATTTGTAAATCAGAGGGGTTAAGGCTTGGTTTCTTTAAAAGGGGTGCACTATTGCATGCTTGAGGGAGGAGGGAACACAGCCGGAGGACAAAGAACTGTTAACAATAGCTAAAATTGAGGGGCCGACATTGTTCAAAACTTCCTTCAGAAACCTATAAGGCATAATATCTGAAGCAGTCCCTGACGGTTTTATTTTAGCTATAATGTCCTTTAACCCTATGGGACCGAACGACGCATAGCGCGTCCAAATTCACACCTGTCCTTCTCTGTGGATTTTCTCCGCGACCATGTGTCATAGTGAGAAGCCACGCATATCACGTGAAACAGCGGAATCATAGCTTTCCGACAAGACCAAGCACTTGTCGGTTGTCCAATGTTTTCACAGCAAAATAAAATGATAAAATTACACTAAAATTATGTATAAACAGAGCTTTCATACAGCTTTGCACACACATTACTCTTGGATGGATTACTCGCGAATGCAGGGTCGCCCCCCCCCCCCCCCAATGCTCAAAATGCCCCCCAATATATAACTGAAACTGAAAAACAACAACAAACTTTGTTTACTACAAACAAAGTGGCCAATATTATCTTGGAGGACAACATTGCACTTGGTTGACTGTTTTTCTATGATCTTAGATGTAAATATTGCATGTTTCTTTCAGATAAAACACATTTTTGACTTGTGAATGAGTCAATGGAATTTCTTGCAATAATGGAAAAATCCTGGCAATCATGTCCGACTGGCACAAACCACATGTTTTGGACAGCTGTGAAGTGACAGAATGTCCCACCATCATGGTTCTTATATTGCCAGATTCCAGAGAGTCTCCCTTCTTCATATATGGCAGAATATGTCTTTTTCCAACTTGCTATGGTGAGATACATGTAAAAATGTAAGAATTTAGTCACACGGATTTGTTTTTTTCATTGATATAAAAATCAATACAAAATACAGGCACATAGTAGGACATGAAATGATGGCAAATCTGGTTAGCCCAGATTGTCCTAAAAAAAACAAGATATAGCATGTGTATGTAGCCTTTATAATGACTGTGATATGAGCTTAAAAGTAAAGGCATTAAAAATACCCCAAAAACGCCTAGGGCGTTAAAGTACACAGTGTGAGTGGTTGAAAACAGTTTAGCAGGGTGGATGGGTAACACATTGGAGAAGGTGGGTCACCAATGATGGTGAATCTGGAGTTTAATTTCCTTAATTTTGTTCTTAAAAAATTTTGTTCTTAGAAATTTTTCACAGTTCATCGGGGTGGTTTTGGTGAACTGACAAGGAGGAAGATTAGTAACGGAGTTGATCCTTTGGTTCACTGTAATGATATTTGAGAAGTATGAGGACCTGGCTTCCTTGACTGTTTTCTGATAGGCGGACAATAGTTCTTTCAGGATGAGGAAAGACACCACCAGACGGTCCTTTTTCCACTTTCTCTCTACCTGTCTGCATCTTCTCTTCAAATCTCTTGTGTGATTATTAAGCCATGGCATACTGATGGTTGATTTGACTTTCCGGGTTTTGATAGGTGCTATTGTATTAAGTATTGAGTTACAGGTGTAGTCAAAGTTGGCTGTCGTATGCTGTAAAGCCCTGTGAGGCAAATTGTGATTTGTTATATTGGGCTTATGAATAAAATTGATTGACTGAATTGATTGATTGATAAATTGTTTTTATAAAAGTATAGATTATAGTGGCTTGAAAGTATAATGGCATGGTAATATTATGGTGTGAGTTTAAACTTTGCCCTTTAAACTCACACCAGTTTTAACAGTTTTTTCTTAGCAGTTTGTTCTAAGGCTGGCAGCATGATTTAAAAAGAAATAGTTTTGGAACAGCGGACAGCAACCTGCTCTCTTGAGCCATAGACTGAAATTAAACTTAAAGAGTTTATCTTTGTGTGTCTTTAGCCATTTTGCTTTGTCAATGCTCAACATGGGAACCAAAAAAAGGAAAAAATGTTTTTCATATTAATTTATAAAAAAGACATCATGTTATTGCATGTGTATGAAGTTATGGTGAAGAATGTTTTGCACTAACTTTTCCATAGCAGCCTGGAAGGCCTTTGAGCCAGGTGCATGCCTGTGGACAGACTGGCCCTGGGGATCCATGACAGACACTTCATTGAGAGCACAGTCCCTGGTGTGCATGATGAATCTGCATGTCTGCGGGACTTCGATCTCTACCTAAAGATATATAACAGTAGACTCAGGGTCAATGAAGAGACAGAGATGGAGCAAGAACACTGTGTTATCAAGTGACCTCACAAAGTGGTACACAAACGGGCATGTACCTGACAAGAGACTTTATGGCCGTTCATCAGGTCAGTAGTGCCCACCACACCATTTCTGCTGTCTGTGGTGTACTGGTACATATATTTCTTGAAGGTCTTGAATCTAGATGCCACTGCAATAAGATAATGGTATCACAAGGTGATATTGACTCTCTAAAGCCCAGTTCAGACCAAAGATTTGCGACGAGACAAATTGAAACATGTATCTACTTGCAATGCGTGAGAAAGTGTATCATCTCTATGCAACAACTCTCTGTACTTCTGATCTGATTTCCAGCTTTTCAGGCATATTTTGTTGCTGAATATAATTCATAGCCTCTTAAAATATGAATGAGGATAGTGATAGAGAGATACTGGCTACAGTTGCATTTGTAATAGTGATGAAATGGTGAAAAACAGAAACAAAACGAGCATCAGATGGAATATGTATAATAGATACGGCACAATAATAATAATGGTGCTGGTTATTTAACCAGAATGTGTGTGTGTGAGAGGCCATAAGCACATACAGCGAGGAGCAGCAGGGACCCACTGTCCAACTCTGGCACACAGTGAGGATGGAAACAGGGCTCAGTGGGGACAGAGCACCTGCCACAACAGCAAGCGAACAGTGTGTGTGGTCATTTTGACCTGACCACTGGACTTCGCTACAAGCCGATCGGCTATTGAAACAGGTGACGTGCTTTACATTCTAAAACCAACTGCCTGTGATTTGACCAGCTAAGTCACAGGTGACACTATCGACCGGCTTGGGTCAAGCACAGATGACCAGTTCCAGTCCAGTTCAGCAACATTTCTCTGCAACGTTTGAAACCAGTTTTGTCTTGTCGCGAATCGTTGGTCTGAACTAGGCTTGAGATCTTATGTAAAAAGCTCTAAGTGTGTGAGTTCAAGCCAGCACTGCTTTTAAAGATGAGAACATGTTCATCTAGGATTATTCTGTTCACCGTTAAGGTTCCACATCACTACATGGCAGCAGATCTTTGGAAGCAGCTAAATGATGCTCCCAGTAGTAAGCCACTGCTATGGTAGTGAATCATAAACAGCACAGGAGCAAGAGTCCATTGGCTTCTGTTGCTATCACCAGAAAGCAGGTCATGTGTTTATTAGTTCAGCACAGCCACAATTGATCTGTTAAACAGGTCAATGTGTCTGTTTGCAACTGCACACCAATCACCCCTCCATCTACCCTATGCACAGACACACTTTTACAGGAACACACTGTCAAGCCCCTCACAGGAACTGACAAAGTCCAGACTGATGTAACTGCATCATTTTGGGGACTTATCAACACTTTAAAAAGTGCAATATAGACTTTTTGCATTACTCTTATTATTCTGATCACCAAAATAGCACAGAGCAGTAATGAAACCAAGCAATTTGCAATCTCCTCAGAAGAAGTTTTGGAAGGTTTTGTTGATGTGGATATAACTGATGTGTTGGCAGCTACTTACACAGACACATTGAAGTTTGTGGCTTATTATCACTGCCTTCCTCTGGGGAAAAAAAGAGGAAAGTAATGTGTAATCTGGAAAACTGTTATGATAAAAACATTTTTGAACAAATATATATACATGGTCATGCACTATGTCTGCCCTTTTTAACCAAGGACTTAACATATGTATGTAAGGACAACAGTCAGCATTCATATTCAAGTAAAAAATATAACATGCCTTGACATGCCATGGTAGAAAAAAAGGTGTCATTAATAACATTCCATTTACTTGCTAGAATAAACAATAGGAACAATTACACTTACGACCCCTTTACAGAAGACATTAGGACTTAAAATGCACAGGTGTAAATAAAATGTACAAGGCTGAATTCCATTTTCAGTCTCAGGATCCTAGTATTGGTCATGCTTGCTTCTATCATGGCTTATTGGGAATTGGACAGAACAGAGACACTATTAATGTTCGTAGTAATACCTGTGCTTTTCTTACAAGGAAAAGTCAAAATTTCTAGCATACAAATGAGTTTTACAATTATTATCAAAAAAACTTTTATGATTTTCTTCAAATGTGGGGCGTCGGTGGCTTAGTGGTAGAGCAGGCGCCCCATATACAAGACTGTTGCTGCAGTGGCCCTGGTTCGACTCCAGCCTGTGGCCCTTTGCTGCATGTCACTCTCTCTCTCTCCCCCTTTCACGCTTGTCTGTCCTTTCAATTAAAGACCAAAAAGCCCCGAAAAATATATTTAAAAAAAAAAAAAAGATTTTCTTCAAATTTCTCATAATCCAATTACTTTGAATCAAAAAAGATTCCTACTTACGGGCCAGTGTGTAGCTGCTCAGCAGCAGCAGCAACAAACACAGCTTGTTGTAACCCATCATGGGCTAAAGAAAAGGGTTTCCTCTGTACTGTTGAGTGCTCTCAGCCTTAACTAATACAGCAACACTTCTCCCAGATCATTTATAAAGTCCCTCCCCTCTCCCCTGTCCCTCCATAAGCCAGCCCTGCACACTACCAGGGGTACACTGACTCAGCAAAGCCTGGGTGGTCGTTTCAAAGTTCAAACTCTGAATAGCACAGATGATTATTGTTGGGTAAATGGCAGCTTACAGACACAAATGTTTTTGTTCATGTCAATACAGAATTGCAAAATGAAATGCAGTTGTAATCAATCAGCTAGACTGTGGTACTATAACAATCAACTTATTTTTTGGTTCTTAACTCCTGGAATATTGTATAGATACTCTATACTATTTTATAAAGAGACGAAATGAGTACATTGACTTTCGTTGTTGCTTCTGTTGAAGATGTATACAGACTATTTCAGCCTATTGTCACATTTCCTGCAATCACATGTGAGGCCAGTTCTGTGCATGCAATGTCCCAACAAATGCTCCACCGCTCCCACCATCCAAACATAGCTATGTTTAGCCCTGAACAAGTTTCCACTTAGTGGTACAATAGAATAGAATAGAATGGAATAGAATAGAATACAATAGAAAGCTTTATTGTCTTTATAAAAACAGACAAAAAGCTAAACATCACATAAACACAGCTATATAATAGCTATAATAGCAAATGATAAAGTAGATAAAAACAATAAAAGACAGTGGTTTAAAACATTGCACCGTGTAGATATTGCACATTATTAGGGGGCCAAGCCCGAGGGGCCTCGGGGAACGCATATGCAAGCAGACGCGTTTCCTAGGACCAGCGGTGCTAGGAACCCTATTGTTTTTGTAATGATTTTTATACTTCTCTATTTTTATTCTTCCGTTGATAAAAGTGGTGCTGCAGGCTAAACCGTGCAAGGGAGGGTGGTGCAATTTGGAGGGTTGGTTCAGACCCCTGCACGTACCTCAGATGCAAAAAACTACATATGTCCGCCTGCAGGGGGCGCTATAACCAAGGCCAACGCGTTTTGGCCTATAACTCCCACACCGTATGTCGTACATTCAAAAACGTTATATCCCCAGATTCCCTGAATAGAGCTGAATCACTTTGCAATTGGCCATTCCCACTTTCTCCTATAATTTTTTTTTTCCGCAAAATCGCAAAAACTGGAAAACCTACTTTTTTGAACTCCTCCTTGGGATTTTGTCCGATCGGCGTGAAACTTGGCACGTACACCCTTCACCTGGACCTGATCTAAAGTTATCAAAAGAATTTTGTTCCGTCAAACATTCCGCAAATTATTAATGAACAAATTTGTGTAGCTAGCTATAAAAATGTAAACTGTTGCATATCTCAGTCAAACTTAATGCTATCAACACCAAATCTCAGATCCTTAGTTGGCATGACACTGTGAAGGTATGGGCCGAATTTGGCGAATGTTGGCCACTAGGAGGCATATATGGGAAGTTTGTATCTCTTAAACGGCTACACCCATTTCTACGACATTCGGTCAGTATGTAGTAGGGCCATTCCTGAGGCCATATATTGAAGGTGGTCATGACTGGTCAATGTGGGCGTGGCTTATTATAGGATAAAAAACAAACATTTACTACAGCTGAACTATTATGCTGAGGGCTGTGAAATTTATAGGGTACATATAGAATAGGACACAGATCTTCCATACCAAAAATTGTGCATATGCTCCACTAGGTGGTGCTAAAACGGATGCAAACGCGTTTTTGCGTGTAACTTCCACATTTTAAATGACACATTCATAAACATTATATCCATGTGTTCCCTGGATAGAGCTGGGTTTTCTGACATAGGCTCCGCCCACTTCTGTTTCACATTCTCTTTGCTAATTTGTCACATGTCCAAAACCTACTTTTTCGAACTCCTCCCACAGTTTAAGCACCACCTGCATGAAACTTTGCACATAGAATCTCCAGATGTGTCTGATCAAAAGTTATCAAAATAATGTTGGCACTCCAAAAAATGCGCTAGTTATAATCAAACTATTTTTTTTTTTGCTAGCTAAAAAATGTCCCTCTATATTCCTTTTGTATGTATTCTGGACTGAATTAATACCCCTCTTCAGGTTTGCCATGGCAATGCAGTACTGTTCTCTGTCCCCTGACGTGAAGGCAGCCTTGCAGTCTCTGATGAGAAGCCAGATATCACTGGTCATCCAGGGTTTTTGAATTGTCACTAAAGAAGACAGTAGTGTTGTAATTTTTTATCTTGAGTGAACAGAACGAAGGTAAGATAAGACCATTCAGAGAGGGTTTACAGGAAAATAAGTGGAAATACTTTTATTGCAACACAGCAGCAAAAACACAAACAAATGTTTTGTTTGTTTGTTTTAACAAAGAAAGGAATAACTTAATGTATTTGCTAAATTTAGGAGAGGAGACAAATACTTAGGAATTTGACATAAAATGTTAATAAAGTTTCTCCTAACTCGCTACACAAGTGAGTCTGGTACTTTCTCTTCGCATGATAGAATGTATTGTGATTACTGTACTCCTTTTTGTGCCCCAAACACATTGAATTATTTGCACAACATTACTGTGTGGCTCCAAAATGAACTTCCTGTACTTTGAGATCATATTTCTCCTGTTTTAGCTTCTTTGCACTGGCTCCCTGTAAAATCCAGAATTGAATTTAAAATTCTACTGTTAACTTACAAAGCTGGTCAGGCTCCGTCTTATCTTAAAGAGCTTATAGTGCCCTATTATCCCACCAGAACACTGCGCTCTGAGAATGCAGGGTTACTCGTGGTCCCTAAAGTCTCCAAAAGTAGATCAGGAGCCAGAGCCTTCAGCTATCAGGCTCCTCTTCTGTGGAATCATCTTCCTATTGCAGTCCGGGAGGCAGACACCATCTCCACATTTAGGACTAGACTTAAGACTTTCCTTTTTGATAAGGCTTATAGTTAGGGCTGGCTCAGGCTTGCCTTAGACCAGCCCCTAGTTAGGCTGACTTAGGCCTAGTCTGCCGAGGGACCTCCTGTAATACACCGAGCTCCTTCTCTCCTTCTCTCTCTCTCTCTCTCCTTTGCTAACACTCATGTCCTGTTACTGCATCTCGCTAACTCGGCTGTACTGCATGTCACTAACTCGGCTTCTTCTCTGGAGCTTTTGTGCTCCACTGTCTCGCAGGTTAACTTATATCGCAGTGGTGCCCGGATGGTGTGACATGTGTGGTTGTGCTGCTGCTGTGGTCCTGCCTGATGCCTCCTGCTGCTGTTATCATTAGTCATACTTCTACTGTTATTATACACATATGATTGTAGGGGAAATACCTTTTTGAGAATGTTTGCACCACTAATAAAGTTTGGGGCACCACCGTCCTAATAAGGGTAGCGACTAATCAAATTAATAACTCCTGAAACCAATTATTACTTCGTCAGCACGCTTATCAATAATGAATCAATCTCAATATCTGGGTTGAGAATTCACCATACAGGGATCTTAATTCCTGCTCAAAAGAAATACACACAGACAATGACTTGCCGATAAATTAAAATTTAATTAGGCTAAATGGGTAACAACTGAATAAATGAATGAGGATAATACGAAATAACACAAAATCAACAGTATGTATAAATGGATTAAACAAGAATTAACACTCGTGTGAGTTATTTAATTTGGCAATAGTGAGAGAGTATGTGAAGAGAAATTGGAAATCAGGGATGCGCAAAATATTTATCTAAGGAATCCTAAATTAAGATTAATTTTGTTTTCTTTATTTATTAACGATCTACCAAATATATGTAATAATATTAATATTCAAATGTACGCTGACGATGCAGTAATTTTTACTGCAGCAAAAGATGCTGTTAAAGTTGCTTGTATTCTCACATCTGCAGTGACCCATATCCAGGATTGGCTCTTAAGATCCTGCCTACTACTAAATATCAAAAAAACGTATGCATGATGTTCTCTAAGAAACCACTGAAAATGTCTCACTCTAATGTATTTCTGGGAAAGGATGAACTACAACTTGTCACAGAGTTCAAAAACCTTGGAGTCATTTTAGGCTATACTTTGTTTTAGGAGCCACATCAAAAAACGTTTCCAAAATCATTAAATGTAATCTTCATAATTTTAAACAGATTAGGACTTCTCTGACTGATGGTGCTGCTATGGCTTTCCTCTCCTCTATGATAGTCTCTCATATAGACTACTGTATAACTAGTTGGTCCCTAACTGGAGCTATGGCACTCAAGCCAATGAATCTCTCTATAAAAAAGCAATAAAAATCCTGGACAAAAAGCAATTAACATATCATAATTGTGCCATCCCTCAAAGGAACAAGCTACTAAACTTTGAAAATTTCAAAAAATTCAGAGTGGCTTGTTTCATATATAAAGTCTTACATGGGTTGGCTCCACCGCCACTGTCTGAACACATTAAACAAATGACAGTCGCTAACTCCTCAACTCAAACTACTAGAGCCACTGTTAGAGGTGACTGCGAGGTGCCACTGAGACGTACCACCTTTGGTCAAAAAGCTCTGTCTTTCAGAGGAAGCACTTTATGGAACACCTTACCACCCTCAATCAGAGAAAGCTCCAGCTTTGCTATTTTCAAGGGTCACTTAAAATAAGGTGACCAGATTTCTGAGATGAAAATCGGGGACATTTTCAGTGCGGCGGTGAAAAATCATTAAATATTATCATTATGAAATAAAAAATGGGGACAGGTAATTTTCATGTATTTTGACCAGCTTTTATTACAAAAATGGTTGCAATCAAACAAATGAGTGACATCACCAACTATCCATCCACTGAGGAAGACAAAAATATCTTAATGTTATTAGGAGTTAGGATGGATTTTTTTGATCAAAGGTTTCAACTCATAACTGAATACTGAACTGATATTTATGACACAAAAGGTGGCAATCAAAAAAAGGGATGACATCACCATGATCCCCTCATTCATCCACCTCCGTAGCCTCCACCTCAGGAGCCTGGGTAGAATAAGAGCAGAGGAGAACATGAGAAAAACTCCAAGAACAGAGCCAATAGTAAGTGAATAGTTTCTTA